CGCCTCGCCTCCTCTACCCTCTCCAAATCCTCCATCATCAATCAATCCTATTTTGTTTAAACTTAGGTCAACAATAAACAATATGCTATTCCTGTTTGTTTTATACATATGACAGAAATACATATGCATATATAAAATGATCACATGAAGAAGCAACATAGGAACAGAGACAAACCCCTCTTTCCCTTCAAATTATTTAATCCTTTTACCATTTTAATTGTTTTCATAAATGCGCATAATTAAAATTGCACATAAATAAAAGTACGCACGAAAAGCTGCAAAATGAATAAAATTGCACATAAATAAAAATGCGCATTTTATTTATGTGCAACATATGTGCAAAATGTTGCACATAAATAACATTTAAATAAAATATAAAAATCTCGTGGTACAAAATAGTTGATTTCATTTGAAAAATAAATCTAACCGTGCATTCGATATTGCAAATAAATATTTTAATTTTCCCATTTAGTTTAATTATATTATTCATCGCAATATAGTGTAAGTGCAAAAAATGAATCAAACAATATTTATAAATGGATATGTTTTTTTTTTTTTTAAATCTTTTTTTGTGCTTTATTTTAAAGATTATATGATTGTACTGTTAGTTAATTAACTAAATTAGAAAAGTTTAATTATTGATAAGACTTAAAGACCTAACAAATTATTTCTAGACATTTAATGGGATAACAACAACATCTTTGATCATATGTTGAAAGCTCATTTAACTATGCATAATTTCAAAGCATAATATCAGCTTAAAACAGGTAATTCCATTTAATTAATTTTTATAAGTGAAGAAAACACAAATACGCTTGAAATAAAATGATATTTGAAAATTTTATTTCTAATATGAAATAAATTTTTATTTTAACTATTAGCCATTACCAGTCGTGCAAGAAGTAATCAATGTAATTAATGAATCGACAAAAAATAAATGAAATATAATTTAAATTCAAATATTTGATGAATTTTTCGCAAGAAAGCAAAAAAAGCTGTTCATGACATCCAGAAAAATATCCATCCTCATTTTTCTCCTCCCTCCTTCTTCCTCCTCCACTTCCTCCTTCTCTTTCTTTTTTTCTCACTCCCTCCCTCCCTCTCTCTC